ACTAGCCATACTAACAAATTTTCTACTTAAGGCATCGGCTACCACATTAGCTTTACCAAAATGGTATAGTAACTCAAAATCATAATCCTTTATAAATTCCATCCATTTTCTCTGTCTCATATTCAATTCTTTCTGATCAAACAGATATTTTAAACTCTTATGGTCACTAAAGACTTTAAAACTAACTCCATAAAGAAAATGCCGCCATATTTTCAAGGCGAACACTATGGCTGCTAACTCTAAATCATGAGTAGGATAGTTCTCTTCATGAGGCTTCAATTGTCTTGAAGCATAAGCAACCACCTGACGATTCTGCATCACAACACAACCTAACCCCATCTTCGAGGCATCACAATATATTTCAAATACACCTGCATAATCTGGAAGAACTAAGACTGGAGCAGTAGTCAACTTCCTTTTTAATTCTTGAAAACAAACCTCACATTCGTGAGTCCACAAATACGGATTACCCTTTCTAGTTAAACGGGTAAGAGGTAAAACCATCTGTGAAAATCCTTGCATGATGTAACAGCCCGTAACGTACTGGTATTATTAACATTGATTACGAAATTAAGCGCAGTTACAATCACAGCATATCATTTATAAAACATGCGAGTAAACTTTTTTCGTTTTATTACGCGAGCATTTAAAACAATAAAAAAATGTAATAATTAAAAGTTGTGACCGTAACTGCAAAATCTTTGCGGAATAATTATTTAAACTACTTAAATATCATATATTACCTCTCTCAAGTCACTAAGGGGTTCCCATAAACCCACTTAACTAAAATCTCACTTATACGTTTTCTACCTAACCGAACATGGTTCGGTCTTTGAATTTCTGCGGACAAACTGCACTCTAAAAGCCCCTCGTCTTTTAATATATTATTCTAGACTTAATTACCTTTCTAGGAAGCTATCACACGAGTCAAAAAGTTCTCGTTTACTCCAGATATCGCCGTTTAAAGTTGGACAAGCAAATATGCCAGCCAACCTCAAACCAGCTCCAAACAGCCTTCACTCAATCAATTATTCTGGAACATTCACTCCACCAATTTCTCTCCAATTTTTATAAAGTAAACTAGACATCGCAAGCTTCAATTTGACGTACCATACACCTAATTTAACAAAGAAATTAAGCGAGAATAAAATTCCCAAAAACTGCCAGAAACAGCCCCTGCACAGGTGTGTTCTGCATAGTCCGAATTCAATGGCTCCTACAAGGCTGCGTAAGACCCAGAAAATTCCCAAATTATAACATCATGCAGAGGACATCTCAAGCTTTAAAACGGCATATGGCACGTCCATATCGGACCTCTATAGAGGGAGATATGCTCTCCCAAAGTTCACTTAAATTCTGCCAATTTCTAGAAATTTCGCCAGAGTTTCATTTGTTTTTCCAATAAATCCCATATTTGCAAATGTGTTCTCTAACCTCAATTTGTACCTAATAATCATGAGTGGCACACAAGGACCAGCAATGCCTTGGTGCTCTAACAACCCTTCACAATTTATATTCAATTTGCTCAAAATACATAATCAATGTTTACTTTTCAATTTAACTAATTTCAATCACAAGGTCCAATTGCATGCATTCTTTGAATCATAAAACATCATTCATATCCTAGAATAGGCCTAGTTCCCTTTCATCATATTACAAGCTTCAATATTACATCAAGTCTCAATATCACTATTTACAACTTCCTTACAACTATTACAATTGTCCTTCAAATATACATAATAAATGCTCCAAGATAAATAATGGCAATCAAAGACTAAACTTGACAAAATACCTCGTGAACAAGAATGAAAACAATAATCCTGAATAACATGCATTGTTCATGACCTAAGTCTAGCCTAGGCCCAATGGCCACCAAAATGCAAAAGAAGTAGAAGTCCTCCAGCTCAACCTACGGGCTTCTTGCCCGCCGCCCCGACACCACTGCTACCTCCTGAAATCATGTCCACAAAGCGGGGTGAGATATACGAATATATCTCAGTAACCCAGAGGTTCAGGAGAATACTCCGCCCCATGGCTCACTTCGATGCATATAAACAATATAACATAACATCTGAAAGTGGGATAAAGCAAGGGATTTAGTGAAGTAAGAAAGCATAGGGAAACAAAATATGAAATGGTCAATGCCAAAACCACGCAACGTCCAGCCTATTGGCCTCGGCATATAAGCCTACGGGTTTCAAACCAAGGAGTGTTCCCAGAACATCAACCAAGGCACCCTCCATCCATAACCACCCGAGACTTCCTAGTGTGCTCCTCTACGAAACACACACCACGACCCCAGGTCAACTGGAACTCCCTCTCGGAGACCTATCCAGTGGATGTCTGTAATGCCCGAAGGCAAACAGTCTACTGGCCAGAGACACGGTACATCTTATGTACCACAGCACACATAATATGCATGAACATGTTATCCTATATTATTCACATACATTTCCTACCATTACCCTCAACGGGCATGGTGGAACACACAAGGGGATCAAATCCCAGTACCAAGGGATTACCTGAATAATCTCCTCAACATAGCTCCAATGTAATACTTCCCGAGCTAGGTACACAAATAGAAATTTCTACACATAGGACATTCCCAATTAATTTCCAATCACCAAACACATGCAAGTTATCAATTCTACAAGTATGGTTCAAGAGTACTTACCACAATCCCTATGGTCCGGGACCAAGGGAAACCCACCGAGCTCACGGTTTAGGGTTCAAATCCGCGGGTGGCAACCTACAATGATCACACGAGGATCATCAATACACGGTGAATCCACCAAAACCACAAAACGTCACAATTCCCTCCCCTACACATGGTAGGTTCGGTCAAACATGTGTTAATTTTCAAAATATTTTCCTAAATTTTCTTTTTATTTTTCTTTAGCATTATAATGCTACCCCTACACCATTTTAGGTGTCACTTTCCATTTTACATCATCCAATCATTATTTTGCCATTTATTCCGCTCTAGGTCCAATTACCAATTCCAGACAACCAACTACTTTTTTCTTTTGACTTTCAAAGCATCCACTCATCACACAACCCTTCTAATTACCATTTAACAACACATCATATAAATCATACAATTTCACAACATCAAATTCCCATTTTTCCTCTCTTTGGCCGAAATCTCCATAGCCTCCCACCAAGGGATATCCAATCCAACTTAGCAATGCAATACATTATAACATCCTACTATTAACTCATATAACCATCCAACAATTCAATTACACAATTACATAACCAACCAAATTCACAAAGTCATGGCATTTCACCCAAATTTTTCCTAAGTTAAAACTCAATTTTCACCAATAATTTTTATGACATCAATCACTCTAAAACATCATTCTAAGCTACTTTTATCTAATACACAATTTCAATTAACTACATCAATCAAACAACCCCTCTTAGGTAACCATCAACAACTCAAATTCAAAACCATAAATGAGTGAGAATGCTTACCACCAATCAACTCCTAGGCAACCCAAGAGTGAGTTTCAACCTTTGAACGGTTCAAAACCGCCACCAACCACCACCAAAATGGGCCAAAACCGCCACCAATGGAGGGAGATGATCTCCACAACCACTCACTTTAGTGGCTCACACAAGGAAGGGAAGTTGTTCCCAAGCTAATTTGGAGCAACTTTCATGTTCAACATTTTTGGATTTGAGTAGGATTGGATGGTGTTTTGGTTGATTGAAGTTTCAAGAAAAACTCTCCCTTTCTTCCAATGGAGGCCGTGGGTTTAAGGGTGGAGAAGGAGAGAGAATGTGACTTTTTGTGTGATGTCCAAGTGGCAAGTCCACTTAAGTGAGGGTGGGCCCCACCGCCACCTCACGCGATTTCGAATTAATTCAAATCTCCCGCCTATTCCACTAAACGTCCATAATTTGATAATCTATTTAGAAACTCTAATTTTTAACATTAACCATTGTCGTTTAATTACCCTTGATCAGATGAATCCGAAGTTTTCCGGTCGTTCGGAGAAATTGCAGTTTTAAGCTGTTACGCGCGTCGTAAGCACGCTTCCCCAAACTCGCTAATTTCCTTCAATTTTCATCAGAAATCATATTTCCTAGTCTTATATACCATTTATAACTTGTATTCAAAACCTAGAGCTCAAAATTCAATCGACACGCTTTACGGTGCAACTATACTGCGGTATTTTTACCCGGTAAAAATACTAATCACCAAATTTTCTGAAACTTGCCTATCCACTCAATTTTTTGTTTTGAATCCATTTCCAGGGTTATTTTTATCATTTGAGACCTCTTCCTCAATTTTACCTTCCTAGGGTTACGTGTTTGGCTAATTACCGTTTTTTCCTTCCTTTGTATTTTGACCTAATTTTCAAGATTTTCGTTAATCCTACCCTTTAATTCGTATTTACTATATTAATACATGTTTTAGAAATTCGAGGTGTTGTACATGAACCTTCTATAATATCCTGCCAAACCAAGAAAACTCGTAATCTCAGAAATATTCTTGGGTCGTTCCCAATCAAGAACAACTTCGATTTTACTAGGATCAACTACTACTCCTTCAAAAGAAATGACATGTCCTAAGAATTGTATCTTAGATAACCAAAATTCGCATTTGGAAGGCTTAGCATATAACTGATCATCCTTTAAAATCTGCAACACAATCCTCAAATGCATATTATGCTTCTCTTCACTCTTACAATAAATTAGAATGTCATCAATAAAGACAACCACGAACTGATCAAGATAAGGATTAAAAATCGATTCATATAGTCCATGAATATAGTTGGAGCATTCGTAAGCCCAAACGAAATCACCAAATATTCATAATGTCCATACCTAGACCTGAAAGATGTCTTCAGAACATTCTCCGATTTTATCCGGAACTGATGATATCTAAACAGAAGACCAATCTTGCTAAACACAAAAGCACCCCTCAACTGATCTAATAAATCATCAATTCGAGGTAAGGGATACCTATTCTTAATTGTAACCTTATTCAACTAACGAAAATCTATGCACAGTCTCATAGTTCCATCCTTCTTTTTAACAAAGATCACTGGTGCTCCCCATGGAGATACACTCGGTCTAATAAAATTCTTACTACAAAGATCCTCTATCTGATTTTTCAACTGAGCTAACTCTAGAGGTGACATCCTATATGGAGCTAATGAAATAGGTCCCACTCCAGGTAATATATCTATCGAAAATTGAATTTCCCTTTCTGGCGAAAAATGAGGAATTTCATCAGGAAATACATCCTCAAAATCACATACCACTGAAATATCTGCAATCGGCTTTTTACTATTGCCGACCAGACCTCCTAACAGAAAATATCCACAATCTCCTTGCTTTAAAGCCTTAACAGTCTGAAGCACAAACAAATAAGGAGAATTCTGCACATCACTCTTAGAAGAAATTATAACCTTCTTACTACAGCAATCAATCATAACTCTATGCTTCATTAACCAATCCATACCTAAAACGATTTCAGACTCATACCCTCCAAAACATACAAATCAACCATATAATTATGCCCCTCATATACAAACTCAACATCCTTACATAGCATAGAGGAAGAAACTTTTTCCCCTCTGGCAGTCTTAACCACTATCGGAGGTTTAAAATCATACAATGGCATATACAAACCAATTGCAACAAAACTCGAAACAAACAAATGAGTAGCTCTAGAATCAAACAAAACACTCATATCAATGCCATCTATAAAAATCGTACCTTTAACCAAATTCGAAGCTCTCTCAGACTGTTGTGGATCCAGTGTATAAACACGTCCCATAAAAGTAGGAGTCTGAACAATCGGACTCTGATCCACAGAATTTGGAATAGTCTAATTTGGAATAACTTGTAAAGGTGAAGCATGAAAAGGTATAGCCTGCATAATTGTAGCCCGTCCCCCAAGCTTTGGACAATCCCTTATATAATGACATGTCTAGCCACACTTAAAACATAAGTTTCGATCTCTCCTACAGATACCAGGAATCATTTTACCGCACTTAGAACACTTTGGGATAGATTTGAAATTTCCACTCTGGGAATTCCCAGGTTTCTTAAATTCATCACCAGATTCCTTTTGTTTTTCCACCATTGATTTCTGCTAGTGGAAGCTTTCGAATCAAACTCTTTACCATCAGAAGACTTCTTTGACAAGTTACAGACATCCTCAACTTTCCTGCATTGATTAACTAAGGTAGCAAAATCTCTAGATCCACTACAGGCCATCAATTCTGCAATCTTCTCATTTAAACCCTTTTGTAAATTGGCAGCTAGAAATTCAGATGAAGGCATAATGCCTCTATAGTTTGCAAACTTAACAAGTTCATTAAACTTGGCTAATTAATCATCGATAGACATAAGGCCTTGAACAAGTCGATCAAACTCTCCTTGTTTCCTTTCTCTAGCATCTTAAGGAAAATATTTCTCCAGGAATAGACCCTCAAACATATTCCAAGTAATGACATGACCTTGCAATTCTAGAGGTTGAGTAGTATTCAACCACTACTCGTTAGCATCTCCCTCCAATATATAAGCGGAGTACAAAAGTTTCATCTCATCCTGACACCTCATAACCCTAAAGATCTTTTCCATGGCTTGAAGCCAATTAGCTGCTACGATAGGGTCACGAGTTCCACTGAAAGACGGAGGCTTGTGTTTTCTAAACGCAATTAATCTTCTTTCATCATCATCTATTTGCATCTGAACATTTTCATCATGATGATTGGCTTCTGCATTCAAATGAATGACACCAGCACCAGCTCCTCCTTCTGCATACATAACTTAACGTGGTGAAAGTGGTTGAGGCTGCAGCTGCGGCTCCGGCTGTGGCATAGGTGAAAGTGGCGGCTGATTTACATTCATACCAGCCCTAAGTTCTTTCATCAAAATCCTCATCATATGCTCATTATTAATTCGGTAAGAATCTAGCATCGCTTGATAAGTTTTCCTATTAGTATCCATATCAGCTTGTCTATTGGTATCTATTTGTTGTTGCATTTCAACCAAATCTAGGGGTATATGATCTGGATGACGACTAGATGATCCTCGAGTTCTCCTAGGAGGTACCATGACTCTGCACATGTCACACAAAGGAATGAGTTGATCAGGCCCACACTAAGTGGTCACACCTACCTAATCATAGTAACTACCTAGAATCACTTCAGATTATCTAACTTATGGCAACACATAAGGAATTTCCTAGACCATGCTCTGATACCATAATGTAAAGCCCCAATTTCAATATTCAGATTGTTAACTTACATATGGTACTTTTATGCGCATGAAAATTTCTTTAGCGGAAGACTTTATTTGTATTTCACCATTACCTAGTGTAATTAGGTGAGTAAACTTTTTCTTTTCTTTTTATATGTATTGTTGTTGGGTGGTTAGCTGATGGTGGAAAAATATAAGTTCTGATAGGGGACGTTCCTCTGTTCTTGCAGAACACAAATTCGTTCCCTTAGTTCCAACCCAAGTGCGCAAGTGCACGCATCAAGTAATAAAGGGAGTATTAATGCCCAAATTATCGTTCCTACGAGGATAGAGTCCTAATTATTGTCTTACACTGTTTTATAAAGAATGAAAATGAGAAGAAAAGTTAGTAAATGAACTGTCTGGTGAAACGTTCCCTACTATCTTGACAACGTTCCTCAAGAACAGTAGGTTCAACCTGATGGCAAACAGTTGCTCGCTGCGTTATGTATGTGATCCTTCCTGTTTAGAAGAAGGTGAGATAACAATCATTGGAGTTTTTATAAGTACTAAATAAAATAAAATAAAATTACTAAAACAGAAATAACTATAATAGAGAGACAACAGGTTGGTGGTTAAAACAGTTTAACAGAAGGAACAGATTCACTGCTTCACTCTTAAAGGGGCTGTTTTCTCTGCTCAAGACTTAGCACCTTTTGGCTTTGTCCCAGTTTCTTTGCCTGCCAACTCTGATTCCTCAGCTCATGGTCTAGATGGCTCACAAGTTTCCATATTCCTATGGCTCCCTTGACTCCAACAGGTACTTAGTTCAGAACCTTAAAATGGACGAGTTGGCCCCTTATTCCTAAGGTGACTAGTAGCGTTTTTGCCATGACATCTACCTTCCCCCAATGGCTAAGCTGTCTGAAATCCCTTCCTTATGGAAGTTCCTTTCTCAGTATGTACCCAATTTCCATTGGCGCACAATGAATATAGCTTACTTAGCCAAAGAAATACAAAAAGCTTCGGTTAAGAGTTTTGAAAACAGTTTTTTAAGAGTTTCACAGTTTTTCCATTCCACAGATAGTTCAGCTCATGGCTGATAGTTTAAACATAATTATTCTGAACTGAGATCACATAGACCCAAGATTCAGTCAAGACATAACGATTGGAACGAAGAGAAAAACACTTATATTAATTTAAAAGACAGTTTACAAAAAGAAACAGAAAATGGAGAAAGATGGGTAATTGCTCGTAAGGAGTCTTGATGGTTGTTTACAGAGAAGGGAAGAGGGGTTGTCGCTTAACTATAATTACAACTGAAAATTAAACTAAGTTACTAACTAATACTAAGTGATCTCTTCCTTTCGGACTGCAAACCCTCCAGGATTCGATGATGTTTTTGTGTGAGGGAGGTCCTATTTATAGCTGGAAGAGGAATGGCAAGACTGTAATTCCCTTGGAGCTAGTTGCTTGAATGAGGGGACGGGACGGTGGCAGCAGAGTGTGAAGCTTGCGTGAATTGCTGAATGAAACAGGGTATGGTGATGATTAGTCGTTGTTTGCAGGCCTTCCCATGTTTTGCTTCTGTTTTCAGCCAATGAGAACTCTTGATTCCCTGCTCTTCACGTTTCCAGGTGCTCAGTTGGTGCACCGCCTTGCTTTTTAGAAGTCTTTAACTCTACGTTACCTGCAAAGTGAACAGAAGCATTAAATGCGTCTCAGTCCGTTCCCCTTTTAATATATTTTAAAGGAATACGTTACCATCCGTTCCCCCACTGTGTTTTTGTCACAAATGTGTAAAACAAGTTATTTTCATGCTGAAGTTGCTCATCCAATGAGGGAACGTACGGTATTTTTCCATCAAAATGGGCTTAGATGGGAACAAATTTATGTCCCATCAAACACCCCAAAACTAAACCGTTGGTTGTCCTCAAACATCTCAGAAATATTGTATTAGTCTGCCCACTTTAAAAGAATAGCATAACAGAAAGGAACTTGAGCCAGCGAGCAACCATGAACTTTTCAGAAAATGAACTACTCTTCATAGTAAACAGTAAGAGGATTATGCCCCCAGATAAAATAAGGTTGCTGATCTTTTGTCTCACTGTCACTCATGGGTTGGTGTTTGCTATGTCCATTCCTGGATGTGATTCTTCATAACTTGCCTTTCTGCTGCGTTCCTATGAAGTACAACTGTCTTCTATTCCAAGGATTCTTTGAAGGGTAAGTATATCGAAATGTGGAAGAAGTGGTGGTCTGATTTGTGGGACCAAGGAGCGTTTAGCTTTTGTGTCTTTGAACTTGGACTTTTTCTGTTTTTGAGGGAACACCTTTTCTTAAACCTTTTTCCCCCTTTGGAGGAAGGTTTTCTGGTTTTTCTTGAATTCTTTTGAATGGATGTTCCTCTTTTTTTTTGTTCATTGTTGAGTACGCTCCTTGTTCTTTTTGATTGACCAGATAGTGTGTGATGGAGGTGAGGTGAGTGTGTGATTCTGTTTTGATCCTTGACAGCAGAATTCATTTGTCTTCAGCAGTACTTACAGCATTAAGGCAAGCTGAGAAGTTTCATTGTGATTACACCTCCGGAACGCTCTCAGAGGTAGGTGTTTGGCATTTTTCGTTCCTTACCAGTTTGAGTTCACACAGATCAGCTTCTTTCAAAAATCTGAGAATTAAATTCCCTGCACTGTTTCTATTTTCAAGTACTCAGAGAAAGAACAAGCATGATTAGTCAGTGACTTTGTGTTTCATGTATGTTAGTTAATCCAAAAGAATTGGGCAGTCTTAATACTACAATTGAAATGCATGTATATACCAAACAGTTTGATCAAAAAAAGGTCTTTTCTATTTCAAAAAGATTAATTACAAGGGAACGGAAAGAAAAAGAAATTAAAACAGAACTGAAAACAAACTAAGCTAAGATAAATAGGAGGGTTTCTACTTTTCATTGTGGAGGTCTCCTGTCCCAAGGGTTCCTTTTGCAGCTTCAGCTTCCTTGGCTTAATCAATCTCCTCATGTGTCAATGGTCTCCTCCTGAGCAGATCTTGCAATCTGCGGACTTCATTTACAGGGAGCCATTTCTCAGCATCCTTTAGTAGATCGTTGATGATTGCGACCAGGGAGTTGATGGTGGATCTCATCATGGTTCTGCCAGTGCGGTAGTGGATGACTTGTTTTTCAACATCCAGCAGTCTTGTTTCCAACTCATAGATTCTCTTCTCCAGATATGTTCCAAAGGCCCTGATGGCTTCTTTGGTTTCCTTACGT